ATTCCTCAAAAATGTTAAAATTCTTGTCACAAGAACGAAGAAACACTGCTAATTGAGCTTTGCCACTAATGTCCGTGCTCTCGTCACAGGCAATGGAGAAACTTTCGAAACTAGATGATTTTGCTTTGATCTGATCACTTAAATTCGCGGCTAAATCAGTAACTCTTTCCGCAACTGTATTTCGAGACAATGAAATTGATTGAAAAGCCTTCACATTTCCAGGACAAACAATTTCTCCAGCTTTCATTAGGCATTCCTTGATGAAATCACCGTCAGTAAAAGGCTTCGAATGTTTAGCTATCAACTCGGACAAGACGTAGCTTGCATGTACCGCCGCTTCACTTTCTTGCAATACTTTACTAAACATGGACTGTTGCTTTTTCACTCCTAACTTGAGCTCTTTCAACTTTTCTTCTCTCATTAATCCTTCGTAATTGTTATATTTCGATTTGTGTTGTTCGTAATGACGTTTAATATTATATAACTTTGGTACATTAATAGTATTATTACATATCAAGCAGATTATTTTATCTTTTATTTCACAGCAAAAATATTCTAATTCCCATTTTACTTGGAATATTCTATGTTCGTCAGCGATTTTTCGTTTAATTTTACTACCACTTGGTTTTGATATAGACATACTGAATACAAAGGGCTGGAATAAACACGGTTAACGTTAAAAAGTTAACAAAAATTTATTCTTTCCACAAGAGATAAATCAAAATGCTGAAATATTTCTTCAAAAATATTCTAACAATATCACAAAATGTCAAACGTTTAGCAAAAATCAATTCAAAACAGAGAAACTAATTCTATCTCACAGCGAAATCGCTACAAATCAATCACAGCATTAAGTAAACAAACAGTTCGCTAGAACTACAGCTACTACTGAGATGAGTTGTTTGTTCTCGGCTTTTATAAGCTTTATAATTAATTTCTCGAATATACTGGAAACATCTATAAATATCTGGATTTTTGTGGATGGCAACAGCAATTACGAGATATTTATTTATTTATTAGGTATTAAATGCACGCGCTGTTCTATTTTTAACCTTCCAACGCAGCTGTCTTTTCACAAATCATCTGCGTTGCTAAGGCAACATGAAGCAAATCTAATTACAGTTCTAAATAAAAAAAAAAAAACTAAATAAATAAATAACTATGAAATCTGTAACAATATGAATTAAGGAATAATTAATAATAAAGCAAAGTGCATGCATGCACTAATATATCGTACAAAACTATGATTGGAAAACTGAGACCATGAGTTCGGCCATCGGGTAATGCGTACAAGTTCTGAGTGCACGTGTCCCCCAAAAGCCGAAGGTAGCTGAACGCAAGCTACTCACACGCATTTGTAATTTAAGTAGTGTGTGTGTCAGCTCGCTGTGAATAATCTAACAACACTGAATAAATTATCGTTAATTACTTAGCAGTAAACATTTCATTTTTTTCTTCGTCGATATGTTATTTTATTATTATATATTATTATTTGCCGATATATTGGCCGAGCCGCAAAAATATTTGTTGTGGGCCGCAAGTTTGACATCCTTGTCCTAAACAGTCAATATTGTATCTCTGTTTTCAGTCAAGTTCCATAGGCATAATGTAAACCAGTTTTCTATTACGCCGCGGAAGGAGGAGGGAAAATTCGCCAAGGGATTTGGTGACTGAACCTGCCAATGAGAATTTCCCCCCTCCTCGATGTGTACAGGAAATTGAGAAACACGTGTTAAGAAGAAACGTTCTAGACTCAGATTTCCACCCTTTTTCTTGCTCGAAATAAACAATCCATTCATTAATTTACTTGCGCGAAAAAAAATTTGTTTTAGAAAGAAATTTAAAATGCAGTGGCGTAGCTAGGGTAGTGCAAGGGGGCCCATCTGTCCCTGGGCACAGTATTCAAGGGGCGCCAAACTGATGCTACAAAATTTTTTAATGAAATGTTTTTCAATTCTTGGCACACAGAAAGGGGCATAAATTCTTCAGTTGTCCCCGGGTGCTGGAAATTCTAGATAGCCCCTGTTAAAACAATATTCATTTTATGGACTCTTGATAAACATGACTTTCGAACTTCAACTCCGGCTTCGAACTTTGGAAACAGATACTTCGCACATGCGCAGCCATTTCCATCTACATTGGGAAGGAGCCAATATGTATATAGGAATTTTTGGTGTATATTTTCCCTAGTTGATTTTTCAAGTTGAAAATTTCAATTTTCAACTGAAATTTTGGTATATTTCTTTACCAAAATTTCAGCCTAGATTTTCCCCCCACTCTTGAGATTTCAGTGAAAGAAATTTTTTTGGGATAGAGTTAGCCAGACCAAAGTGTTCCCCTTTGACTGATATTTCCCTTTCATCTGATGAGCTTAGATGGTTTTCTGCTGATAGCTATGTTACCATAAATATGAGTGAGTTCTTGATACATGCAAACCATGTTAAGAAGAGACTGCAATGTTGAAAGATTTTGTTAATCTAAAATTTCTCCATGCCACTTAAATACATATGCAGGTGGTGTATACAGTTTTCATCTTAAATTTTTGTCATCATCAGAAATATTTAGGACTTCTTCAATTTCTAATTTTAAATTTATTGAACCTTCTCTGTAAGAATGACTTGGATTTCTAGATTTTCATTTCCTGCACAGGTGGCCATCTTTGAGAAGATGATCACCCTGAACAGAAGGTGATTTTCAGTTTGTGTTATGGAATTGATTCTATTCAAGGCTTTCGTGTCTTAAAAGTCTGCTGAAATAAAAATGTGGTATATGGGATTATCAATATTACAGTTTAATTACAATGTATCAAGTAAAGTACTTAATAGAAATAAAGTTTCGGGAAAAAATATCTTGTATTTAATTTTCTGAAAATTTATTAGTAAATAGTATTTTTAAAAATAAACATTTTATTTTTAAATAAACATTTAATTTTATGCATTAAAAAAAATTCTGAATTATAAATTTAGTGCTTTCAAAAACACTAACTGCTTCTTGATATATTCACCTGATTAAGAATCCTTTTTTTATTTTTTCTGTTTGATTACTCCCTTTTCTGAAACAATTTAAATTTCATAAAGTAAGTTAAATATCTATCATACTTTTCTGCCAACATCCTCTGTTACAGATTACTAGCAGCATTCTTCTAACCATGTTTCTAAATTTAACCTTTTTCCTTTCTGTTTTGAAGACATCTCATTGTAAGACTAATCACTTAGAATTTATGAAATTTAAAACAAAAACAAAGCAAATACATTTAGTCAACCATCCACATCCCTTTGAAATAAATGCGACCAATTGTAATAACATGAAAAACAGAAATAAACTGAACTGCTGCCTTTTGAACAATGTTATATGATAGCAATTATGCTTACAGTAAATGAAAAAATTAGTATAAACAAGAGTAAGAATATAAGGAAACATTTAATGAGTTCCTAAACACAGATAAATATTTGCTACTATATTTACTAACTTATCCATGGAATCAAGGTGATAAAGTGTCTGCCAAAAACATCATGGGAGATAAAAAGAAAACATCACAGCTCTAAAATATTGTGGTATGAAACATTGTAAAAGTAAGAAGGAAACTTAAGCATTAAAAAACTGAAAATGAGCAGAAAATTAATGCTTCATATAGCAGTTTTAATAGATCTTTTGAGTAGTAGTTAAAATAGTTAACTTAAGTTTTTAACTATTAAAATATATTATTTAATTAATCTCTTATAATGTTGCATTGGTAGTTTTAAAAAAATGTAGTCTAAAAAGCCTAGAAAATGGGTGATTTCATGAGGTTACCTATATTAAAATTGTTATCCATAACCTTTATTTCCTACTCCTTTTCAGTTTTGAATGCTTAAGTTTCCTTTTCGTTTTTTTCCCTGCCCAACTTATTCATTATTAAATTACTTATTAATTACTAGACATTTAACAACATCTAAAGCTTGAAAAACATCTGCAATAGTGTAGTCATGCATTGATTTGTAAGTGCTTTATTTTTTACCACAATATTTTCTACAATTTTTACAGTGTTTAATGTTACAATATTTTCTACAATGTTTTAAAACTGGGATGTTTTTAAACTGCCTTTCCCCCTCCAAAAAAAATGGTGGCCACTTGTCTATAACGGTATTGGCCATTACTAAAGCCAGGAGTTGTGGCCATTTTGTGAAGGCACCTAATAGGCGGCCACTGTTACCTCCTATGAAGGGACAGACAATTTTACACCCATGCCTTCTCCAGGATTCGAACCTGGGTCCTTTGATATCTCAGTCAGTCTCCCCTAACCACTATACCATCTGGGCGGCAAGTGCTTTATTTTTGACAACAATGTTTTAGAACTGTGATGTTTTCTGTGTAACATTTCGTTTGCTATGTTTTTGCTGTGGTGATTTTGCTTGTGACCTTTATAAGACAGCAGACTACAGTGGAAGCAAAAAGTAGTTATGATGTTATAAGAATTGGAAATGTGATGTTTTGATTTGTTTAGTAGGTAAAAAATATTTAAATTTTATAACAAAGTTGATTTTTGTAATACAAATGTGAAATGATGGTTGCAGATTGGTCATCTTAAGAGAATATAAATATCAATATTGATTTTAATTTTTTCCCCCTCAAAATTACTGTTTGCTTTTAGAGGTGATCGCTATGAGAGGACTTACTGTATATATTGTAATGAATGCTAATAAAGAAAAGGGATTGAAATTTGAAGGCTTCTTCAAGCATTTCCAGATGCATTAGCATCATTAAATTTGCAAAAGCTGAATCTTATTTGTTTGCAACCATATTTTTAATAGCAATATATTGTTAAAATATTTGCAACATATCTATAGCTGTACATAAATTTGAGTATTAATTTTAAAATTTTTGTTTGATTGTAGTTTTTAAATTTTTATAACAGTATTATATTTATCTTTCTTAGTACTAATTATAAATGTGCTTTGATAGAAATCACATTCACTGTGACATTAATTTTATTCATAAATGCTATTTATTCCTCATATTAGGAAGAAAATATAAAAGGTGATGATGAGGATTCAGATGCAGATCTTTGCTTAGATGAAAATGTTCCATATGGAGACCGTTCTAATGGACATCCGGGTGTATCAACGGTAATTTATCTTAGTTAATAATTTGAGTATGATTTTTCATCTCTTTTTATAGGGCCTTGTAAATAGTATTTAATATCTTCTTGTTTTAACACTTTGTGGGCCGCTGTCATGCTGGCGTGACTTTTGCTCGCCAACGGTTATCGGCTGCTGTCACGCTGGCATGACTTTTGCTCGCCAACAGTTATCGGCCGCTGTCACGTACGCGTGACTTAATTTTCACCAACGACGATGCTTCACATCGATGTTTGTATAGATAGACATACAATAGCAAAACATTTGATGATCAGGAAACATTGGTTTCAACTGTTTTCCTCTCCCAGTTCACCAGACTGTCTATTATTGAAATCTTTTTCTGTGGACATTTGTTTTGTTAGTTTGAGACTGTCGTTGACTGCTTTCAAATATCGGAAACTTACGTTAGATTTAAAGATATCCTTCAAAATGCTCTTCAATGAGGAAATATATGCTGATCTGTTATCAGAAGAGGATAATTACTCTGATAGTGAAAGTGATTCGGACAGTGGGAGCGATATAATTGTGAGATGATTCAAAAATAAGGAAAGACCAATAATTAGTGAATCTGAAAGTGATGAAGAGAATTCCGTGGTAAATGATTGGTCAGAAGTTGATTTTAAACCTAACTATCATGCTTGCCTGGAACGGTTTGGATTACAGGTACCATACACACCAGATATATTATCAACTGTGGAATTGTTCATTGGGGACGATTTATTTAATTTGTTTGCCACACAAACAAACTTATATCATAATCAGAAGAATAATGATAACAGCAATGCATCAACAAAGAATAAAGCTTGGATTGATACAAATGTTGTAGAAATGAAAAACCTTTTGGGGCTTGTTATTCTAATGGGAATAGTAAGAAAACCAGAACAAGACGATTATTGGTCTACTCACCCTGGATTACATACACCTATTTCTGGAAATGTTAGCAAGAACCATTCGATTATGAATTTTGCACTTCATAATATGAGCATGCTAAAGGCTTATAAATAAAACCAGTTATTGACCTGTAAAGTTTCAAAAATTTTAACCCAGAAAGATTATGTGGATGAATTATTCCTAAGGGCATCTTTTGTACAAATCTGCAAATATAAAAATGAATTTCGTCCTTGATGCTAAAAAGTTTAAAGTTTAAAAATTAAACATTTAGCAGTAGTAGCAATAAAAGCTCCCTGAGATATATGTTGTGCAGACATTGAAGACAATAAAGAGTTTTGAACTTAACCAATTTATTAACAATATAAAAAAAAGAATAAAAACACAGAAAATAAATTTAAACAATATCAGAGTCTTAGGAAAAAAATATAATATAACCATCATTCATCAAATAATATTTTTACCTGGTCTCCAAAACACTGGCATTCAATACAAACAAAAATGTCCTAAACAGTAATTATGCGGCCTAAAAATGAAATTGGCTACACATTCAATAAGTCCATGATCAATGGTCAAGAAAACACCTGAAAATTTAAATGAAGTTCTTGAAAGCACTTAAAACCGGCCTAACTCCTTACGTAGTTGAACACGAGGAATCGCCGCTCACGTATTTTAAATGCCGCCTTCATTGAAGAACATGGATGCCGCCCACGGCAGTCACTCACATGGTAGCCTCTGGAACCAAGGAACTTTATTCTGGAAAATCATCTTGTGGACAGGAACCAAGGAACTTATTCAGGAACAGTCATCTTGTAACAGGAACCAAGGAACTTATTCACCGGACTGCATGCATCCTTCTGAAGGGGCTGGAAACCGCACACCAAGTGCCAGGAAAGCAGGAACTAGAAGGGTTGAGCCAGAGCGACGCGAGATACTTATAGCAGAAGTAGGCATGACGTCATCTTACGGCAACCAATCAGCTATCGGCACGAAACGGCTTTTCCAGATGACGTAACATCACGTTTCGTTTTTGCATCTTAATTAGGTTGAAACAGTCCGTTCTCAATGCAAACAGTGGCAGTAAGAAAAAGAAGTAGAAGTAACTACTATATTACATTAAAATAAGAACTAAGCCTAAATAAACATTTCAAGGAGGAGAGATGATGCAGTAAAAGGTTTACAATAAGTTATATTTTCCAACAAATGCCCCCCACATCATCATCTCCGACCTGAAATAAAAACTGAATGCCAGTATCTTTACAAAATTCAAAACAAGAATAAATAAATATCACAATTTCATTCAATTCAGAAATTTTTAAGAAAATTTTCCTTTGGGAACATCTTATCCCATTATTCAAAAATTTTACCATAACAAGAAAGTCCAACATGTTACAAAACAATACAAAGACATATGTATGATCATACACTCAATACTTTTACCCAGGGCCCTGGTCACTCATACAACATTCTACACTATACAGTTTTACATTTACCTAATATCCATCATAATATGACTTATAACATATTATTTTCAAATAAACAAAACTCTTAATTTAAATACACACAAAAACAAATTTCATAAGAAAATTGTTCCACAAAATCTTATCAGGTTATGCTTAGTCAGCGGTTTTGTCATGGGATCAGCCAGATTATCTTTACTTGGAACATATTTTAAATCAAAAATTTCCCTGTTCAATAGATCACGAATGAAAAATAGTTTCACATCTATATGTTTTGTCCTTGAGTTTTCAATGGGTGATTTTGTAAAACATATAGCAGCCATGTTATCAGCAAACAATATTGGTTTGAAACATAGTTACTTGCAATTCTTAAACTGAATGCATTCATCCAAAATGTTTTTAAACCAAACTAATTCTTTTGCGGATTCAGTCATGGAGATAAATTCAGCCTCCATAGTAGACAAACTCACTCCCCTTTCTTTAAATGTACGCCAAGATACAGGTGCTTCTCCCAACAAAGCTATTTGTCCACCAATAGACACCATATCCTCCCTGCTTGAAGCAAAATCCGAATCTGAATATTGAGCTTCAGTTCCTTGCATACCAGTTTAAGTTTGTGCTGTCTGGTAAAGTAATCCTTCCCAGTAAAACTTACCAGGATTGATTTGGAACTGAGAAAATATATATTAACAGCATAAGCTATATCCGGACGAGTACGATTGCAAAGAAACGAGAGACATCCCAAAATATTTCTATAAGGATAGTTCATCATTTCAGTCGTTTCTTCTTGTGTACTGGGACTTTGAGACTTTGAGTATTTCACACCTTTAACTATTGGAAGGGAAGTAATTTGTATTTTAAAAGACTTAAATCGATCAACTATGTCTTCTATATATAATTGCTGATGAATTAAAACACTATTGTTCTCATATTCAAATTCCACACCCAAAAGCTTTCTTGTTTTACCTAAAATTTTCAAATCAAAATGTGAACTCAGGACTTTTAATATTCTTTTGGCCTGAACTTCACTTTTTCCAAACACAACTATATCATCAACATAAACCAACAGAATGACAAAATCTTTAAAACGATAGACACAATTACACCACTCAAACTTGATAAACCCTAGGTTACATAGTGTTCTATCCAACTCGTAGTACCATAATCGCCCACTCTGATGCAAACCATACAAGGCTCTATCTAAACGACACACAAAAGTTTCTTTATCTCGCTCTACAAAACCCTGAGGTTGGGACATGTAAATTTCCTCTGATAAAGGAGCGTAGAGATAGGCACTTTTTACGTCGCATTGTATATTTGCCCATCCAAGGTGTGCAACTAAAAGGGAGAAAAAGAGCCTTATTACTGAAAAGTTGACTACAGGAGAGTAGGTTTCATCATAGGTATCGTATTTAATTTGCCGATAACCCTGAGCCACTAAACGAGCTTTAAAACGAACAATGTTTCCAAATTCGTCACGTTTAATGTTGAAAATCCACCTGCAACCTAGTGGAGTCTTGTCTTTAGGAAGTGGAACAAGATGCCATACCTTATGCTTTCGCATGTTGGCCATTTCCTCTTCCATTGCCTCTATCCATTTAAGCTTTTCTGTGGATTTCATTGCCTGGTTATAAGTGTTTGGAATTGAAACCTCTAGTCAGCTATCTCGGGTATATGACGTTGAAGGAGTGCCAGTTGGGTCGATTTCACCACTATAAGTATTGCTTCCCTTGAAATCAAACAAGGTAGGATCATACTGAATATTATGTTCAGTGCAATACCTTTCTACATCATTTGGTGATCGTAGTCTTTGATTAGACCCCCTCTCAAAATAATACACATCCGTACGAGTGCCGTCTGGCCTTGGAACAGGTTTACGAAGCCAAGTTACTTGTCTCAATGTAGATTGAGTGTCAGTGCCAATTGTAGAAGAAGGTACATTGGTATCGGTTCTTTCCTCTATTTCAGGAAAATAGCCAACTGGAGTATCAGTAGATTGGAACTCTACCCTTTCTTCAGATTCCAAATCAGGAAGGGTGCCCAGTGCAGCTCCACTGCCACTTTTCTGCATTCCAATTGACTCTTTAAAAGTAGCATTTAGGGTTTCTACTACCTTTTGCTCATTTTCCAACCAAATCTTGTACCCTTTTGTTCGTACACTGTACCCAATCAATCGGCCCTTCGTTGCCTTTGGATCAAGCTTAGAATTTCTTTTAGCCTTTGGAATTCCCACATAGGCAATCGTTCCAAATGCCTTAAGGTGACGTACTGATGGTTTCCGCTTAGTGTACAATTCGAATGGGGTTCTATCTTGGCCCTTATGACAAATTCTATTAAATGAATATGCAAAATACATTACTGCATCTGACCAAAATTCAGGACTCATTCCACTATCATGTAAGATTGCACGTACATTGTTGAGAGCTGTCTGATTAAATCTCTCACAAACTCCATTCTGTTCTGGAGTATACATCTGTAAATTCGTGCTTTACACCATTTTTATTACAATATGACCTGAATTGATCATTATCATATTCTCGCCCATTGTCAGTCCTAAAGTATTTCAACTTAAGGTTCAAAGATCTTTCCGCACGTGCTATATGCCTTTCAAATACTTCAAACACCTGACTTTTCTCCACA